TATCTATATATGAAGACTTCTTTAATTATATATATGAATCAAATAATGATTAATCAGTATTAGGAGATGGTTTTAATACTGATCTTCACTTTTACAGTTTTCTCAATGTGATTTTCTATGCGCTAACCAAAACCCACTGCCATCAGTCAATTCTGACTCATAGCAACCCTACAGGACACAATAGGACTGCCCCATAGACTGTCTCATCTTTCTCCCATGAAGAGGCTGCTGGCTTCAAACTACTGAGCTATTTCGTTTGCAGCCAAATACTTGAACCACTGTACCACCAGAACATCCTTTGTCATGTAATAGGTAGTTACTGATTATTTTTTTTGCTTACTTGATGTAAACAACAACAACAAAAAATATTCTCAAATGTATACCTTGGAGTACTGCTCAGTATTTGATATGTTAGGTTATTTTATTCTTTTTGAAATTCCTTTCCTTTGGATTTTTCTGTGAAAACAAATGATCAGGATAGTTTGAACTAAGGTATAGCATTGAGAAAGGAAACAACTTGAAATACTTTTCGGAAATATCTGACAGGTGTGGGTCATTGATGAGAGATGAGAGGGAGAAATCAGGAATAATTATTCTCTTGTTAATGGCATGAAAAAATAATAAGTAGAATGCACTTTGGAAAAAAGATAATATGGTAGACTAGCAGGTCCCTTCTTCAGGAGAGGGTGTAGAAATATAATGAGCTCAGTTTTGGCCATTTGAAGTTTGAAGAGCTTGAGGGACATTCATGTGATAAGTTTTAGATATATAATACTATGAAACAAGAATGAAGATTTTCCTTGCCATATTTGTTTTCTGTCTTTTATTCCTACTCTAATATTAGCTAATAGCATCATTTTTCTATTATAGTCTAGTGTTCTATAGTATGATTATACTGTAATTTAATTAATTGTATATTGATACTCAATGCAAATAATGTTGGATTTCTAAGTACATATTTATACAGTTCTGTGTGTAGCATAAAGGAACTGTGATGGCACAGTGGTTAAATGGTCTGCTGCTAATAACCTAAAGATGTCCATCATTAGAATCCACCAGCTACTACACAGGAGAAAGATGTGGCAGTCTGCTTCCATAAAAACTTACCCTGGAAACCTTGGAAAACCTGTGGGGCATTTCTAATTTCTTCTCTGTCCTATATGGTAGCTATGAGTCTGAATTGACTCAAAAGCCAGGAAGCTTTTTTTTTTTTTTTTTCCAGTGAGTAGAATGTACTCTTAAAAGTGTAATTTCTGATACAAAGTGTGTATATTGTAAATGATGACTACCATCTCAAATTGCTCCTCCAAAATATTGAACATATTATATACCCACTAACCATGTTTGAGAGATTCTGCCTTCTCAGAATCCTTCTTAGCCCTGATACTTCTGATAATCTGTGAAACTTTAATAGTTGGGGGGAAGGGGGGAAGAGAAGGTTTTTATGTCTCATTTGCATTTCCTTAGTTATGAGTGAAATTAAACATTGAATTTTTTCTGTACATTTCTTGTTTTTGTTCATTTGCCCATTTTATGTCAAGCTATTTTTTTTTCTGGCTTTAGAGAACAGAAAATTATTGTTTCACAGAAGGCTGGAAATTTGAATTCTCAGGGCATCAGCAGAGCTGTGCTTTCAGCTCTAGAGGAATATACTTCCTTGTCTCTTTTAGCTTCTGAAGTGCTTATATTTCTTGGTGTTCTTTGGCCTATAGACAGATCCTCACATGTTTTCCTGCATGTAACTCAGTTGCTATGTCTGCCTTCGCTTATAAGACACCATTCAGAAGAGATTAGGACTAGGACCTACCCTATTCCAGTATGACTTGACAAAGAATATTGTCAAAGAAATAACCTTATTCCCCAGACAAGGTCACATCGCAAGTATAGGGGTTAGGACTTGTACATATCTCTTTTAGGGGACACAATTCAATCTACCACAAAAGATTACTAGTTCTAGGGCCGCTGTTTTTTCTCCCCTTACCCTCTTAAAATAGAAAAGCTCTGATGGCCATGGACCTCTTAAACACATGTCTAATAGCTTTCTGTGGTAATGTACTGCTAAAACGGCGAGGAGGCCACATGTTTTGACCTCCTCTAACCCTACGAGGGAAAGGCAGGATTACCAGCAGTAAACCGAGGCCTATTACTGCAAGGCCAGACATACTGCCTCCCTCCAGCCCTTGCTCCAACCGTTCCTCCCAAAGCACCCACCACCTGTTTCCTGGGTTCGATAATTCACTGCAGTGGCCACATAGAAACTCACAGATTATGGGGTTTATTAGGGAAGCACCAGGCTACAACTCAAGTTCAGGAAGAACGCTCAGTCTCTCTCCCAGCCCACCGTCCCTCGGCCAACAGTCTCACAGTCTCTTTCCCAGCAGTGCTGGTTCCTCGGTGTCTCACTCAGCGATGTGTGTCTCTTGCGTCTCTTTCCCAGCAGCACGTGTCTCTTTCAGGGGCGCGTGTCTCTTTCGGCAGCACATCTTCCTCAGCCAGCAGTCAGAGAGAGTTCTGCCTCCAGGAGGCCTCCTTCAGAGCCTGCAGGGTGGTCAAACTAGCCAGTCATAGCATCAGAACTCTAAGAACCTGAGAGAGAGTGGGCACCTCGCAGAACATTGTTTTGTGCCACTCCCAACAGAAATACTCCAGGTGGACACCTTCAGCAATCAGGAGCTCCTCAGTTGCTCATAGCAAATCCCACCTTGGAGTTTACAAAGACTTATGGGTAGAAAATCCACACAAAGTAATTTACTACACTGCATGTACTTTACCTGAATATTTGCTTTCCTATTGGGGGCTCTGGTAGCATAGTGGCTAAGGCACTTGACTGCTAACCAGAAGGCTGGCGGTTCAAACCCACCAGCCACTCCTCGGAAGGAAGGTTGGGCAATCCTACTTCTGTAGTGATACTGCCTCGGAAACCCAAGGAGGGGTCACTATGAGTCAGGGCTGACTCGACGGCACATAACATAATTGTAGTGGACATTTTTTTGTTTGTTTGTTTTTGTCTGTCCAACATCCGTGCCTTTCAGGAACTGCCTATCATTGACTTCTTTTAATTATGATAGGCTACAATTCTCAGGACCTCACTCATTTGACAATAGTAATAGCACATGAAACAGGCTTTGTCAGTCAGAGTAAACTCTTCTTCTAGATACAGTGATTAGTTCAGGAGTAGGCAAATTGATATAAGCAGTGACTACTCCCTGATATTACTGTTAACAAGTTTATACTTGTCCATTGTTTGACTGACAATTGAGTCATGGGGTTAAGTTTAGTTCTTAGCTTGAAGGTTGTCTAAGGGCCATAGTCTCAGAGTCTACACCAGTCTTCATCAGACAAGTAAGCCTGATCTTTTTTTATGATTTGATTTTTGTTTCATGTTTCCACCCACTTTGTCTGGGACATCATATTGTGATCTCTTTCAGAACAGTCACCAGTGGTAGCCAGGCACCATCTAGTTCTGGCCGCAGAGTCATGGAGGCTAGAGTTCACATGCTCCATTAGTCCTTTGGACTGATTATTTCCTTTGGCTTTGATTTGCTTCATCATTCTTTGTTCTGGTCAGGGTGAGATCACCTTAAATGGTCACTCACAAGTTTTTAGACCCCAGTTGTTACCAAAGTCAGATGTCGAGCATTGTCTTTGTGGACTGTGTTACATTAATAGGCTTTTTTTAAGGTGATCTGGTGGCACAGTGGCAGCTAACCAAAAGGTCAGCCGTTCAAACCCACCAACCACTCTGTGGGAGGAAAATGAGGCAGTCTGCTTCCATAAAGATTTACTGTATTGGTAACTAAATGAGGCTGTTCTACTCTGTCATATGTTGTTGTTGTTATTTGCCGTCAAGTCAGCCCCGACTCATAGCGACCCCTCCTTGGGTTTCTGAGGCAGTATCACTACGGAAGTAGGATTGCCCAACCTTCCTTCCGAGGAGTGGCTGGTGG